GGTACCTACGATATTGCTAGTGCCCACAACAAAGACGCTGAAGACAGTCTACTTGACTGGATACCGGTGAACAGCCGCATGGGTGTGATTCGATTTTGAACAGTCTGAAGACAAGGTGCCTTTTCATCGCCTGTCTATGCCCCTACTGAATGAAGCTCAGTCGGTACTAAAGACGATTTCTACCAAAGGCTTTCATCTGTTCTACGCATAGAGAGGAATACTGACATAGTGATTGTTGCAGGTGACTTAAATGTCAAAGTAGGTCGTCTTTCAGACTATGAAAACACCTAGACGGCCGCTTCGGAGTCGTTGCATGTCGAACAGACAAGGGTGATTGATTCCTGCAATTGTGCGCCGACCACAATCATTATATTATCAACACCACTTTCTAGCACAAACGTTCATACCGCGTCACCTGGTGCTCAGCGAATTCTTTGATGACCTGGACCCAAATCGACCGGTTGCAGATGGTGCATATCAGTCCACAACTGGCGGTCAATTTGGAGCATGTGGCTGGATTCCGACCATGCTCCAGTGCTCGCACGCTTGGCGCTCATCGTTCCCGCTTCAAAGAAGCGTCTAGCTTCCAATCTTCTTACTTGTAACTCGCAATCTCCATTTCAACAATATCCTGACGAATTGGCCCAACAAAAGTCAGTGATGAATGAGGTTGGTAAACCGAACGCTGACTGCGATCGTCTTACATGTGTCACGTTGAACGCCTGCTGTGTACCCAACATGAGACGTCGCAACTTTGTATGGATCTCTGAGGCATCGGTCAAACTGATCGTAGCACGGAGACAGGTGCCAATGGGCAATGAGTTTCAGCGAGTTCGTAACTCCCTGAAATGATGTCTGACAAGGAGTCTTCGAATCAACCCGGCAAGTTGGTGGATGGCAAAGGCCGGTGAGATGGAGAAAGCCAGTGCCATTGAAAACAGCCGGGTGCCATCCCAGCCAATGCATTATGCGGGTCCAGAAAGTCGTCACTTAGGAAAACAACAGCCGAGAAAGACTGACAGTTGATATATTCTCAGTCTCGTCGACTAGCCTTTTGAGCGGGACATTTTGAAGAGCAGCTCAGCAGGCCTGCTGCGACACTTCCGCTTGCCGAAACGCTTGAGCTGACGTGGGAAGTAGATGTCACACCCACGTCGGAAGAGATACGACATGAGCGTTCCATATTGGAACTAACCAAAACACGTAAACCCGACGACCTCCATCCACCCTTTCTGGGAGATGATGGTGACTCTTTTTCGACTGGACTCGCTGCGCTGTGTTAACATTATCTGGGACACTGAAGAGATGCATTTAGACTGGCGACAATCAACCGCCATGCCTACATACAAGAAGGGTCAGCACAATTTGTGCGAAAATCATCGAGGCATCGGCCTTGTTTCCGTTGCATCCAAACTCCCCACTGGTATCATTCGCAGACGGCTTACTGGTTCCCGTGAGAATCAAACCACTCAAACCCACCCTGGTGGTGGGTAAATCTACCACATATTTGCTCTTCGCAGTGTTTCAACAGAGATAGACATACCGATGATGGACTATGGTGGTTTTCATTGGCTTGAAAGCCGCCTTCGACTCTGCTGACCGTCCCAAGTTGTGGCAGTGCCTACCCATGAAAGGCGTGCACCCTAAATTCCTTTCCATTCTGAAGCCACTCTGCCGTGACTCCCGAGGCCGGGAGTCTATAGTAGACCATCTCCTGAGTTCCGTATGAGAAGTGGGTCACGCCAGATTCAACCTACATCTCCCCTCTAACTGACTGAAATGATCACGAATGACTCGGTCCTTTCAGACTCTACCGGAGTTATGCCAGGCGACCGACTGACAAATCTGGAGTATGCGGACAGCACAGCTCTCCTTGGGGCTGACGCAATGACTATGAAAATATTACTGGATAGACTGATGCGTAGCGCTGACTCAGTATCGTCCAGAAACGCAAAGAGTGCGGTCAATGTCGTCAGATTCAAAGCCAGGGAGTAGCGGATTCGTTGCAATACTGTGTGTTTCAAAGACACAACTTAATACCAAGAGAGTTAAGGGTGAGAGGTAGTGCTAACTGTTGGCCGATCCGACTCAGAGTGCCGATGTTACGTGAAAAGATGTGAAATGCGACCTCTGGCATGAGGGATGAGCTTCATGTGCAGATGGTGGCAGTTGCAAGGTCAGCAGCAGCCTCTTGCTCAATAGACGAAGAAGAAAAGGAATAAAATGAAAAGGAGGGGCTATTGTCGATGGAGTGGGCGTAATCGGTAACGAAGACATTAACAGGTAAAAGCAAATACAGTGCTCTGGGACAAGAAGTAGACAACTATGGTGAATGTACAAAGATAAGCTACTTCACTTTGCGAGTGTGCGACACTTGGCGGCAGAAAATGAAGTCACTGATGACCAAACTCGGTGCTGTCGGTCCGTCTCGCATTCCTGGGTAGAGTTCACGTGACTTGAATTGTGCTTCGCTCGAGACTTTACAGGATGTGGCTTGTAGTCGCTATCAAAGGGAAGGCCGCTTCCGTTTCCTAATCGGATTGCATGTTTAAATCGTGTTTAATGCTGTGTTATCTGCGGGGTAATGCTGATTATGACGCGGGGTAGCGAAAGCCGCAAAAATGCAGTCTTGCTGATGCCACCTTATCTTTGTATGAGAGCCAGCTGTTTGTGACGGTATGTTCTAGACAATGTGTTTGCTTAGGGCATTAAGGCTTTCCTGTAAGCCCCCTTCTTTTTTTCTTGTTGTCCATCGTTCAGTGGGTCGTAATGGTTGTGTGGCAGCAAAGCATAAATTGAAATTGCTGATGTACTGCTGTTGATGACGATGTGTGCGACATACCAGTGAGAAATAAAAGGGTGACATGCATTGTGACTGGCTGTCGTAGTCGGGCCAAACGCGAATGAGTTTCTGTGTTATCACATGACTAACGCATCTTCACACACCGCCTTAGGTATGGCTGATTCCTCCATGAATGTTGAATGGGATGCATAGAAGAGTGGCACGACCACCCTAGTCACCGACTGTGGACCGCTGCAGGTGTTGGTGGAGTGAAGTAGACTTGGGGCAATCCAAAGTCAAGATGACAGTTTTATCGTAGCACGAGTTAAGACTCAGCTGTTGGCTGGTGTACAGTCGGCTCTTCCTGGAATGAGCCGATTGAGCGACAGTGAAGTGTCCATAAACTGCCTAGTAGTCTACAAAAGTTAAAACAAAGTTCGGGTAGCGGTCAGAAGCCTGTTAGTTATGATCAGCTGAGCCAATTATACCGTACAGAATATTGAATTGCTTTTCCGTAGTGTCTCATTTCAACGATTAGTCCTTGATGACAGTCTTATTCAGCCCACTAGCTGTTTTCTGCACTCTCCCACTCCACTCAGTCCGCACTTGCTTGGTTCGAGGAAGCGCGGAATTTCACTCATGCCGCGTCGCATAAATTCTCGTCTGCCCATCAGACCTATGCAATTTCGACAAGTTCAAGTGGAATACGCTTGATCGTCTTTCCGTGCATCGAGTGCGTGTGCACTCCGTTCTCCCAGATGTCTGGACATCGATGAACACTGTGTCATCTGCTTCAGTTCCTTGACAAACGCGTGCTATTCGGTGGCTAGTGTCCGGCCCAATGCCCCACTCTCGTTTGGAACCACGACGCATGTCATCCATGCAAGATAATATCAGCAACACACCAGAACCTCATATTGACGCTTCGTTGACTATCAACCACCAAGGATGCAGAGAGCGCCATCACCAACGAAGGTTCGAACCGATGATCTGTGGGCTACAAGCCAGGACATGGACCGAACCGATGCATCAGGGTAATGAAGCCTGCGCAACTGTAACTAGCTTGAGTGTCTTGCCCAGCGCCGATTATATTCGCCCGATGAACTACCTACTACCACAAAAACAATCTACAGCCAGTGCAGTTAGAATTTCGGAGCACTGTTATGTGGATGCACTTGCCCGAAGTCCAGCACAATATTGGCTACTAAGCAAGCGAGCAGTAGGCGACCATGATCATGCCGATCCAGGCGCGCCTTGCAACATTCAGGGCAAATGTACGTGTGCTAATTAGAAGGAAAACACCCGGCGTGCCACGGATAATTACATGGAGGACATAAAAAGGTTACCCACCAAGAACGTTCAGTTTTTATTCATGTGTGTTTAAATGCTTGTCGGGCGGATTTCTACTAGGTCAGAATGAATATCGGCAATTTAACCCGTTAGCACGGAATATATAGACGAGATTGTGTAAAAAAAGCGCACATATATATGACGGGTGGTGAGAACAGAGTTAAAAAAGCTACACACTGTTGTTCCTGACAGTAGAATCACAGGTGTCTAGCGAGTTCGATTAACAGTTCAGATCAGTGGTAGTTTCGGAAAACGAGGTACGAAGGCAGTGAGAGTGAATCTTTTTGAGGTGAAGCACAAATGGTGACCATAACTATTTCACATATGGTGCAAACTCATTTGGATGCTAATGGTCGATAGCCCGATCCGGAACTTCTACACATGTGTATCCCAGCGATGAAAGAACTTTACGAACCAATTAATGCCCGAAAGAACAGGAGCTAATGATATGCCTATATGCTGAAAAAACTGAGCGGGAAGCTGAAGGCGACACTGCATCCCACGACAAAAGGCGAAGATGAACAGCCAGCTGGTCAGTAACAGTTGCGTACAACGTGAAGGAGTTTAAGGTAACCGAGCGTGGAGTGCGAAAGGTGAACTACACTGTGCACTGAGGTGCATCGATCGGAGACTGCAAAAATATTGATGCGGTAAATAGGCGATACCTATTCAGCAATCGAAGATTTGCATCATCACTATGGCAAAAGTAGCAAGAAGCCCATTTGAGCTGATTAGTATCGCACCGTAATCTGGGTACTTAATGCTGACCAGATCGGGAGCGACCGGACCCACATGACGTACGCCAAAGGCATGCATTTCATGCACATGCACCACTGAATGAAGAAGCGCATGCCAATGATAAGCAGAATTGGTCAAAAATAACGTTTACTAGGAAGCGAAACAAACAAAATGCGACCACGAATTACACTTTACAAATATCACGGGAATTCTAGTTCACGGTCCTGTGCAAAGTAGACCTAGTGATGCCCGCGAGACTCAGAGAAAGGTGCATTGGCCTGCCTTATTCTGGCTTTGTTGCGGGAGGCTCTTTCAAGACCCGATCAATTATACCGACTTCGGCAGCCTCATCAGCAGTCATGAAGTAGTCGCGGTCCATCCACTTCTCGATCACCTGCAAAATAAGGGAAATGGTGAAAATAGAGCGGAAAAAGAACAATATAAAAAAGGCAGAAACAGTGCTAGAGCAGTGGATACAAGGATAAATAGTGGTTTTCCTAAAAAGAACGATGGAATGAATTAATATAAGCCACTAATCCGGAACAGCAGACAGTGGGACTGGATCATGGTGTGGCGCGAAGATGTGTATATCTCAGTGATCAACCGGGCCATGCTGAGTGCTGCCTCTTAAACTAGTTATGCCAGACAAGTCAGTAGTTGTAAATCGGACAGTATCAACAAAATCTTTATAGAGAATCGGTGAGGGGCAAATGCTTCTCTTGGTTCAAAACATACTTTTGGGGGAAATTCGGTGAAGAGATCCGAGCTCAGCGCTAAAGACTGTCTGACTGCGGGACAGAACGATCTTTTCTCACTGGTTTGGCACCGTCCCGGTCAAGACAGAAAACCTTGACCCAAAGAGAAGCAATCGCGCCGAAATTCATTACTCTTGCGAGCCAGACCCCGGGGGAAGAGCCAGAGATAAGAGAAATCCAACGAAATCCCACCACCAGAACAATAAGCGCAGTCGACAACAATCTTTCGTCGTCCACTGGCTCTTTCCACTTTCCATTCTCACCAACTTGGTAATCAATGGTAAATATGTAACTAAAGCGTCCTTCCGACTATTAATTTCTTCAAAATCCGCACTTTTAAGTACCGAGAGCAACGGTAAGCCATATCTCCTAATGTTTATCCACTAGGCATCAACAACCTTCATGCCACCAAAATACGCATACAAGACTGTAAGAGCATCCTCATCAGTACACGGTAACTGAAGGTGAAAAACACTTCAGATATTGTGCACAATAGAAAAAGATAAGATAGACCGAAAAGTGAGATACATAACAAAATGCAATACAAAAAACCAAAAAACTAATAGTATTTAGTATCATATAGCACATTAAGTGTGAGAACGTGGTTTTGGGGGAGGAAAATAAGTGGGAGGGGAAAGACACTCAAAACACAAAAGTCATTGAGGTCGGCTCCTAGCCATGTCAACAAGTGTATCCAGCAAAACGTGTTCATCGTCCTTCGGTCCCCAACCAGGGAGTCGAGGCTCCATCTGAGGCCAACTTCGAAGTAAGGTCCTTCACTCCTCTTGACCAAGTCATCAGTTGGCCACCTTACCTCTTCTTCCATCCGCAAGCCCGGCGAGCAAACAACGCGCATTGCGGGTGTCAGTGGGCTGACATGCGTAACACAGAGCCGAGCCAACAGAGTTTGGTGCGTGAAATAACGGTGCTGAACGGTTCACTTCTTCTTCCTCCGCCATAAACAAGGCGCACACGGTGTTCCCACCAGATAAGAGCCAAAGTGCGAAGGTACCGGTGTGTGAACGTAATTAGCCTTCGGTCTAATGTGCCAGCTTTCACAACCGTACAGTAGTCGAACGTACGAGTGCATTGTACACTCTACCCGTCAAGGAGAGAGTAATGTCGCGCGGGCGCCATAGGTGGCGAAGGTTAGCAAAAGTGCCTCGTGCATTTGCTACACGTTTTGTGACCTCGTCTTCAATTCCAATGGCGCTGATACAACTACCTAAGTAGTTGAAATTTTGAACGACTTCTAGCTGATCCCCACCAAGAGTCAGCGGCGCTTGCCAATCTCTGAGGAAACATTTGCACTTGGGGGGTGCAAAGCATCGCACGGAACGGTTAACAGCCAGTACCAATCTGTCTAGTGCCGCTTGGAATGCCTAAGAGCTGTCCCAGATGAGGGCAAAATCGTCAGCATACTCCAAGTCAAAAAATCGTTCGCCAAAAAGCAATTCCACATCTTCTAAGTCATGCTCTGTGCACACAATCTCCATGGCTTCGTCAATAGCGAAGTTAAAGAGGAAAGGTGACAGCAGGTATCCTTGTCTCACACCACTGGAGATAATGAAGGGAAGCGACAGCTTGTCGTAAGCCCTCACTCTGCCCGAGCTACGCGCGTAAAGCGCTCGCATAATATTTACACACTTCGCAGACACACCTTTCCTTAGCAGACAGCCCCAAAGGGCACGTCGATCCACCGAATCAAAGGCGCCTTTGATGTCGAGAAACATGACAAAGGTGGACCGCCATTATATGTGACGGTGATCCAACACAATGTGAATATGTGGTCGATGCATCCCCGACCGAGAGGAAACCGCTAGGCAGTGATAATGAAGCTAGTTCATTAAAACAACAGATAGCACTGAATAAATTGCGTTGGGCTGTGTACGTACTACGTGCCGGATCACCGCTTAGTGAAGAGGGCCTTGATTTGTCTGTCAGATGTAGAGTGACGCAAGGCAAGAGATGAACAAGAGTTGAGTTTGCGGCGAGAAATGAAGTCACTGACGACCAAACTCGGTGAAATCGGTCCGTCTTGCCTTCCAGACTAGAGTCCACGTGACCCGCCTTGTGCTTGGCTCGAGAGCTTAAAGGTTACGGCTAGCAGTCGACACCAGTGAGGTGTCTGCTGTCGACACGTAGTCAGATTGCCTGTTTAATGTGTGTTTGGTGCTGCGTTATTTGCGAGGTAATGGCTTATTAGGACACGGGGCAGTGAAAGCCGCAAGGAAGCTGCTTTGCCGATGCCGCCTTGTCATTGCATGATAGTCAGCTCTTTGTGATGGTTTATTGTTGACAAGGTGTAGGCGCTTTGACCCTGTATGTTTGCTAAGTGCATTAATGTTTTACGCCAGGTCACCCTTCTTTCCCTTTTATTCTACGTTCCGTAGATCGATGTGGACGTATGGTTGCAAAGTATCAGTCCAAATGGCTGAGGTACTGCTGGTGACGATGGTGACTGAGTCTCCGGGCTGAAGCTGCCCTGACTGATTGGATCTCAGTCGAAAGAGGGGGGGTGCGCTGTCAAACGGGTTGGCTCGTTCCAAACTTGGGAGTCACGCGGGGACTAACAGTGCCTGTTTGTCATTGCAGCCTACGCCCCCACAAACTGTAGTACTGATACGGTGAAGAAAAAGAGGAATTCTATCACCAATTGAGAGAGCTCCTTAGTTTCAGATTATGGATACTGTGGTGCTTGCTGGTGATCTGAACGCCCAAGTCGGAAAGTTGTCCACCGATGAACTGCGTCTGGACTGCCAATATGGTGCAGGCTAACGTAAGATTAAAGGTGAGCGGTTGCTGCACCTGTGTGAAGATGTTCATTTCACGCGAGCACTAACTTCCGTAGAAGAGCGACACGGCGCAAACCAGCCTCGGAAAAGATATGGATGCAAATCGATTGCATCGCGATCAGTTACCGTTGAAGAGACTGTGTCCAAAAAGTGCCCCACAACTTTGAGCATGAGCTTGGACTCCGATTACACAATCGCATGTGCTGACCTTCGAGTACATTTTGGCAGACGTCCGTAATGACGTTGTGAGCGCATAGATCCTTGCCAACTGGCAAAGCCAGATGTTCCAAAGGCATACAAAAATACGCTGGCATGCAAATTGAGTAATCGATTAGCGAAGTGAGTTGGAGATCACTGGCTACATATGCGCCAGACGGTACTAACAACAGGCATGTTTTCCCGTGGCAGATCAAGTTGCTAATCTGGACATTGGGTCTCTACGCAGTTTCTGGAACGTTTAGACGCTCACCAAAACATCCCAGCTGGAAGTGAACAGGAGATTCGCAAAAACCGCGAAGCCTAGTTGTCTCATCGAACATCACAGATGAAAACGGCCACTGCTCTTGGTAACCATCAGTAATTATTCCGTCCGATACGCGAAATGGGCAAAAGGAAACCTGGTATTAACTAAACTATATGCAACGAGAGTAGAAAACCAATTCACAGCATGTCAAAGGCTTAGTGTTTGAAAAGCAGTTTAATCAACTAAAGCTGCAATCTTCTTTACTGGTCGTTAGTCGCACGCTCCCTGGGCCGTCCATTTGGATCCGCCCTCACGTGTGGAAGTCAAAGATCAGACTGCTGAAAATGAACAAGACCACAGGAACACATAGAGTTGTCCTAGGTCTTAAAATTCAGGAGACCTGCTTCTGTAGATAAATTGCACAACTCACTTATGAAATTGTGGGAGCAGGAGACTGTCCCAACAGGCTGGAGCTGCTTAGTCATATTGACAATTATCAAGCGAGGCTACGTCCGGATTGCAACAATCAAGCATGGAGCAGTCTGATCCAAGTTGCCTCTGTCGTGCTGCATAGACTGAATGGTACTCGTGCGAGACGTATTCGTGAGGAGCAAGCTGGATTTCGCTGCAATCAAGGCTGTATTGACCACATCTTCACCTTAGGCCAAATGTTGGAACCCCGCCATATTTATTGGAAAACCACCGTAGTCATGTTTCTCGAAATCAAAGGTGCCTTTGATTCGGTGGATCGATGTGTCCTTTGTGACTGTCTGCTAAGGAAAGGTGTGCTCGAGAAATACATAAACATTATCAGAGCGCTGTACGCGCATAGTTCGGGCAGAGTGTGGGCTTATGGAAAACTTCCGCTGCCCTATAATATCTCCAGAGATTGTCCGCTGTCACGTTTCCTTTTCAATTTCGCTATCGACGAGGCCAGGAAAATGGCATTTACTGGGCACGACTTATAAAGTGTAGATCTGTTCCCAGGCAAGCGGACTTTTCGTATTGGTGTATGCCAAGGACATTACCCTAATCTATGACAACTCACAAACGTGCCAAGCAGCACTGGACAGATAAGCGCTGCTCTCAACTGTCTCGCGCAATGCGTTGTTCACTCGAAACGTAAAGTCCTCCTCCAAGATTGGCAGGTACCCATTCCTGCGCTGACTCTCGTTAGGGATCAGCTAGAGGTTGTCCAGAATTACAAGTACCTTGGCAGCTATAATAACATCGGGGGAATAGAAGATGTGATTGCAAAAGGGAGAGCAAAAGAACAATGCAATTTGCTAAATTCCGCCACTTGTGGTGTCGGTGCGACATTACTTTCGCTCTGACGGGCCGAATTTATAACGCAGCCGTGCGTTCAACCCCGGCATATCAG